CCCCAGCTTGGCTGCCCCCATTCTCTCTCCCTGGGGATAAGGAGGCGACTTCTCCCCAGTGGTTAAAGTCAACAGCAGCAAATGCTTGAGCTTGGAAAGTCTTCCCAAGTAAATAAAAAAGTTATAAAAGGGAGGAACCCTGTCAGTCTGATGGAATTATCAAGGGCCAAACTCAATGTGGTACGGAGACTGCATGTGCCAGAGGTCACAAACTGGCAGCCCATAAACTGCTTGTTCTTTTGTCATTAAAAAAACCCCTATGGACCTCTCACGGTTTTAAGGGGTTGACCTTCCCATTCATTCCAGTATACACCACTCCCTACGTCTCACGTCTGTGGCTTCACTCATTGTTTTCTGTCCAGCCCCTGAAGGCATCTGAGTTTGAAACTTCTGATTTACAGACAGTTAAAAACTAGTTGGGTGGGTACTGTTCTCCCACCAATTCTATTCCTGCTTTCTTCCCTTGGAAGTAAGTTGGGTTACGTTTACCTGTGAGACTCTCAGAAATACTCACTTTTCCAGGACAGCAGGAGTGAAGAGAATGTGCAGTGGCCACTGCACTTTGTAGGAAAGACCCAGGGCTGCCCAGCCCGATGCAGGGGCTTCCCGAGGAGAAGTTTCCCGGGGAGGCCCTTCTCTGGCCTGAGTAGCATCTGTTAAGAAGAGAAGGAAAGATGTCTGTTAGACTTTGTTAATGTAGAACCAGAGCTTCAAATGGTGAACAGCACTCATGAAATGAGGGTTCACTGCAGTGTCAGAAGCATAGAGGGGACACAAAGGAGACTTGCAGAGGCAAGGAAATGTCTGTGTGAAGTTCTCTTAGGAGGTCTTTTCGAGATTCTTTTTTCAGCCTTCAAGTCTGGTGGCTTGAAATAGAGACAATTCCAGGGGCATGACAAACACAAAATCGGAAACCATAGCCCGGGCATCTCAGCCTCTCTGGACTTCCTTCCCCTTTCTCCTATATAAAATTTGGACTAGGTTAGTTTCTAAGGTCCAAAATGCTATGGTTTCTGTGGAGGTAGATGGAAGCAGAGACAGAACATGATGACTATTAGGAGCAGAAAGATGTAAGAAAGAATGGCAAACCTTTATGCTCCTTTCCATGGTACTCAATTGTCAAGTGCAGCAGAGGGAGAAGGTTGTCATCGTCCAGCAAAACCTTGTGTGCTGACTGCTGGAAGGCCACATTCACATCTGCAAGAAAGACCATGGGCTGACACGAATGCTTGGCTACATAACAAACCCAGACTCCAGCTTCCCACCTCTCCCCCAGCCTGCCTGACACCCACAGGAGGAGGCAGTAGAAGCCGCTTGCTTTTGCCTGACTGGCATGCTTCCTCCTCCTCTTGCTGACAGCAGCATCCTCATTTTCCTTGGAGAATCACCCCTGCCCAGTGCAATCCAAGCAGTTCCAGTGGGTTGACAATACCTGAGCCTAGGGGTCAGCAGGTGACTCAGGCATGATCAAATGGAACATAATACTCTACCCTGATATACTATTTTGTTTAGGGGTATGAATAGGACCCAAGCCAGGCCAATTAAGAGGCTTTCAGATGCTGAAAGAGTACAGCTACATGCGGGTGGTATGTGTGATAAACAGGGACTTAGTATGGGAGCTTCGTTGGAAGTCATCCTGCCACCACACGGAACAGGCCTGTCTGAGAAGAAAGGCAGAGGTAAAGATGGAATGACACTAAGTCCTAAAAGTGTCATGTGAGCCACTGGATCAAACTCTGCCTAAAGCTATCATACCTCTGACCTTTTCAGTTATAAGAATCAATAAATTTTTTCCCCTTTAAGTGAGTTTGAATTGGGTTTTGATATTTGCAACCAATAAATTCCTAAGCAAGTACAGTGGACATCTATTATTTTATAGAGCTAGAAAAATAGTAACTGTTTCCCCAACCCCCATTTTGTTTTACTCTGATCCTCACCCAACTCCCCTCATGTAGTCTGAGCATTCCCATTGGTCAAAGGTAAACACTTTACCGAAGCAGGCACATCTTGATGTCTGACCTCTTTAATACAGGGATAGGTATATGATCTGGGCTGGGCTAATCAAAACCCTTTCCTTTTTAATTTGCTACTACAGAGACCAGGCTTGGCTTCTCCAGTAGATACTGTGAGGCATGTTCCTAGGAGCTATTAGTGGCCACGTTTCCAGATGGAATGTAAGGCCATCAAGGAGTATATAAGAGAAGATATGATAAGATGCAGAGAATCCTAGCAGAATTCAAGCCCTTAGCTTCAGCTGTTCTGAGGCCCAGCTATACCCCACCCCCTTGGCGTTACAAATACAATAGCAAATACATTCCCCTTTCCTACCTAGGTTAGTTCAGGTTAGGTATCCATCATCACAACCTAAAGAATTCTAATATAGTAAGTGGCAATAAGTTCCAATATGTCCCATAAAGAATATATAGGGCTATAATCCAATGAGATAAATTAAAATACCTGGTTTGAAGGCCAACTCTTCCAGGAGAGGTCACAAGCCAAGAAGCTGCTCCTGCTGACCTCAGTGGGAAGCCTACCTGGGAGACCTTCCATCTTTGTAACTCACCAGTCTGCTCTCATGTGGAGCAGGCCTAAATGGTTGAGCAGCTGCCAAGAAATACCCTACAACTTCAGTGAGCTGGTAATTCTCAGGCCCACAGGGCAATTACCATGTTCCGTGACTGCAGTGGGTGGTGTTTTTAACATGTGTTGAGCTGTGTCAATGAAGGCCTGAAACAATTCTCCACGTCCCAGAAGGTAAAAGTCTTTAATGATCTGCAGAAAGAATTTCAGTTTACAATTTGGCAATCCTGCAGGGCCAGGAGTCCTCACTATCTCACAGGAATTACACACATAATTTCCAAATCTCATCAGCTTGAGCTAACCTACAAAAGGATATAGGCTTTTGGCATTTCAAAGGGGCATATTTAGCAATCCCTCACAAAAGGATGTCTGGTGTGTCTTTGGTATCATTTATTCAGTAAAAACACAGTTATATTATGCCAGAAGAGAGTTAACACCTAAAATTTTGTACTGTAGTACATCTGTCATATTAGGTGGAGGTGGCCCACTTGGCCTAGGACATATCAAGCCATCTAGAAATCTAGGTACAGGCAATCAATGCTCTCAGGAGAGGCTAGAGAATGAAGTCACTGCCCACCAGCATCATTTTAAGAGTGAATATAATAGCTATGCTATTACCTTCAGCTGACCCAGTAAATCTGACTCTTCCACCATCAGCTTCCAGAGATGCTGTGAAAAAAACCAACAAAACAGGGACGGAATTTTATTACAATGAAAACTTCTGTAAAAATTGGTTTTGTACAAATCTAGTAATGTTGAAAAAAGAATATAAACCATGACCAAGTTGGATTAAACCCAGGAATGAAAGGGTAGTTTAACAGTAAAACAACACATATGAGATGGAAATGTTCTGAAATTAAATAGTGGTGGTGATTACACAACATGGTGAATACACTAAAAATCACTGAATTTCATGCTGCTTTTAAATGGCTCAAATGGTGTCGTGTGAATTTTATCTCAATAAAAAAATTAAAAATTTAAATATGAATGCAATTAATAAATTAAAGATTAAAAAGAAAAACCATATAATCACTTCAACAGATGCAGAAAAAGCATTTGATAAAAGTCAATATCCATTCATGATTTTAGGAAAAACGAACAAACAAGAAATAGGAGGAAACTTATTCTTAGAAAGGGTATATACCAATAACCCACAGCAAACAATTTATTTCATGGTGAAAAATTATAAGAAATTCCTTTTAAAGTCATTCAAAATTATACTAAAGACTTTGCCAATGCAGTAAGAAAATATATAACTGGAAAGGAAGAAACAAAACTGTTATTATTAACAGATGATATCATCTGCATAGAAAGTCTAAGAGAACTGATATACAGATTATTAAAACTAGTAAGAGATTCAACAAAGTTGAGGATTAATGTAAAAAAAATCAACTACATAACCATTATCAGAATCAAAGGTAAACTCATGACAAGGATTTGTTCAGTGAAGTGATCAACACTGATTCAGGGTGCCCGGAATCTCCACCCTGGCAATCATCCCTCCTCTCTCTCTCTTACTGGAACTGGCATAGATAAAGGACTGGCCTTTGGCCCATCTCTAAGACACATTACTAGACAAAGTAGCGACATCCCCTAGGGAAAACAAGCACACAGGCCAAAATAACTAGACACGTGAAGAGTAAAAGAAATACAACAGGCTAGATAACACACACATCTGAAGAAGAAGTTTCAGAACAAACTGAGTGGATTCTATAGTGTGTTGCCCAGATCTCCCCTGTAAGTCATTACCTCAGCTATGGGGAGTATTGCCTGTTGTTGGCCCTCCAGGAATTGCCTTTGGCTAAAGAGAGCTTCCTCACCCATGGGTCCTCTCCCTGAGGAAAGCCCACATCCAATTTCTGATGCAGACATACGATGGCATAGCCCTCAGACTTCAACTGAGGACCTCTCTGAAGGGCCATTCTAGCTTCAGAACTCTGCATAGGATTGGCTAAGGCTTCAGTTGCAATCACATCACAGTTCACCTTCTTTCTCTGCTCAATCCTGCTTTCCTCACTTCCTGCTACCAAATTTCAGTCTCAGAATCTGTCTCCTGGGAAATCTGACCTATGACATAGATCAAGAATTCTAAATATATATATCTATTTTTAATATATCTTTATTGATTTCAGAGAGGAAGGGAGAGGGAGAAAGATAGAAACATCAATGATGAGAGAGTCATTGATCGGCTACAGCCCGCAACCCGGGCATGTGCCCTGACCAGGAATCGAACCCCGATCACCTGGATCCTAGGTCGATGCTCAACCACTGAGCCACGCCTGGCTGGGCTTAAATATTCTTCATAAACATGCTTAAAGAGGTAGGGACAACAGCAGTATAAATACACAAAAGAAATATTAAAAAAAAGAAACAAGTTGCTAGAACAATTGGATATCCACATGCAAAAAATTAAAAGTTGATTCATACCTTGCACCACATACAAAAATTAACTCAAAATGATCACAAACCTAATAGTAAAACTGAAAATTATAAATTTTCTAGAAGAAAACAAAGGAGTAAATCTTTGTGACCTTGGGTTAAGCAAAGGTTTCTTAGGCACAATGCCAAAATCATGATCCATAAGAGGATAAAAACTTATGAACTGGATTTAATAAAAATTAACTTCTGCTGTTTGAAAGACAGTGTTAAGAAAATGAAAAGACAAGTCATAGACTGGGAGAAAATATTTGTAAGTCACATGTCAAAGGACTTATATCTAGAATAAACAATTCTTGAAACTTAATAGTAAGAAAACAAAACAAAACAAAAACAATAATAATGGACAAAAGATTTGAACAGACACTTCACCAAAGAAGATATATGGATAGCAAATAAGCATATAAAAAATGTTAACATCATTACGCAATAGGGGAATGCAAATTAAAACTACAATGAGGGAAAAACCCAAATGTTTATCAACAAATAAAGGGAAAACACATTGGTATGAACAATGGGGTACTACTCAGCAAAAAAAAGGAATAAACTACTGATACACACAACATGGGTTAATCTCAATAATACTGAGTAAAAGAATAAACTTAACTGAGGAAGTGAAAGATGCATACAACAAAACCACAAGACTTTACTGATAGAAATCAAAGATGGCACAAACAAACTGAAAGACATTCCATGTTTGTGGATCAGAAGAATTAATAGTTAAAATATCCATACTACTCTGCCCAGCCAGACTGGCTCGGCTGGTTGTCATCCTGTGCACCAAAAGATTGCCGGTCCAATTCCTGATCAGGGCACATACTTGGGTTGTGGGTTCGATCCTTAGTCAGGGCACGTACAGAATGCAACTGATCAATGTTTCTCTCTCACATCTATGTCTCTGTCTGTTTCTGTCTGTCTGTCTGTCTCTTTCTCCCTCTTCCTCCCTCTAAGCATGTCCTCAGGTCAGGATTAAAAAAATAAAAATAAAATAAAATGTCCATACTGCCCAAAGTCATCTATAGATTCAATGCAATGTCTATCAAAATTCCGAAGGCATTCTTTACAGAGATGGAAAAAACAATTATAAAATTTTTATGGAACCTCAAAAGACCCCAAATAGCCAAAGCAACTCTGACAAAAAAGTATAAAGCTGAAGGCATCACACTACTGATTCCAAACTGTACTACAAAGCCATGGTAATTTAAAAAGTATGGTACTGGCATAAAAACAGACATAGAGACCAGTGGAACAGAACAGAAAGCTCAGAATTAAATCTCCATAAATATAGTCAACTAATATTTGACAAGGGAACCAGGAACACCCACTGAGGAAAGGATAATCTCCTCAATAAATGGTGCTGTGAAAACTGGGTAAATACATGCATAAAAATAAAACTGGACTCCTATCTTACACCATGCATAAAAATTAACTCAAAATGGATCAAAGACTTAAACATAAGACCTACTAATAAAATTCCTGGAAGAAAATGTAGGGAAGAAACTCCTTGACATTCATCTTGGCAATGATGTTTTTGGCTACGACACCAAAATCACAAACAAGAGCAAAAAACAAGTGGGACTACAACAAACTTAATGCTTCTGCACAGCAAAGAAATAATCAACAAAAGGAAAGGTACCAAGAGAATAAGAGAAAATATATGCAAACCATATATCTAATAGGGGGTTAATATTCAAAGTATATTAATAAAACTCATACAACTCAATAACTAAAGTATTCTCAACCCAATTAACAAATGGGCAGAGGAACTAAATAGACATTTTTCCAAAGAAGACACCCAAATGGCCAACAGGTACATGAAGAGATGCTTAACATCAGTAATCATCAGGGAAATGAAAATCAAAATCAGAATAAGCCTGGCCGGATGTGGCTCAGCGGTTGAGTGTCGACCTAGGATCCAGGTGATCGGGGTTCGATTCCCGGTCGGGGCACATGCCCGGGTTGCGGGCTGCAGCCGATCAATGACTCTCATCATTGATGTTTCCATATCTCTCTCTCCATCTCCTTTCCTCTCTCTGAAATCAATAAAGATATATTTAAAAAACACACACCATAAAACAAAAAAAAACAGAAAAAGATATCACCTGGCACCTGTTAGAATGGCTATCACCAAGAAGACAAGTAATAACAAGTGTTGGTGAGGATGCAAAGAAAACTCTTGTACACTGTTGGTGGGAATATAAGGGAGTTCAGCCACTATGGGAAACAGTATGAAGGTTCCTCAAAAAATTAAAAAACAGAAATATGGCCTGGCAATTCTACTGCCAGGTATTTATCTGAAGAAATCCAAAACACTAATTCAGAAATATATATGATGCACTCCTATGTTCATTACAACATTATTTACAATAGCCAAGATATGGAAGCAACTTAAGTGCCCGAGAATAGGTGAATGAATAAAGAAGAAGCAATGCTTATATACAATGGAATATTACTTAGCCACAAAAAAGAACAAAATCTTGCCATTTGGGACCACATGGATGGACATCTCAGAGGGTATTACGCTAAATGAAATAAGCCAGACAGAGACGACAAATACAACGTGATTTCACTTATATGTGGAATCTAAAAACAAAAATGNAGACATCTCAGAGGGTATTACGCTAAATGAAATAAGCCAGACAGAGAAGACAAATACAACGTGATTTCACTTATATGTGGAATCTAAAAACAAAAATGAACAAGCAAAACAGAAACAAACTCATAGATACAGAGGACAAATTGATGGTTGCTAGAGGGGAAGGTAGATGAGAGGATGGGTGAAAAGGGGATTTAAATTGGCAATTATAAATATAGTCACAGGGATGTAAAGTACAGGATAGGGAACATAGATAATAATACTGTAGTAACTACATATGGTGTCAGACGGGTACTAGATTTAGTAGGGTGATCACTTTGTAAGTTATGTAAATGTCTAATCACTATGTTGTGCGCCTGAAACTAATATAATATTGTATGTCAACTGTAATTGAAAAATTAAAAGAAAAGAACTGTATGTTTAGGATACTTTGAGAAGAGTATCATTTCAGGGAATGGACCTGACAGCTCTTCTGCAATACATTTAGGGAAGTGCTTAAAATAACATGTTTTAATGATGGTTATAATGAGTGTTCTGTGCAAGCTAGGAAAAAAAAAGAAATAAACTATTGATACATGCAACATGGATTAATCTCAAAATAATTATGCTGAGTAAAAAAAAAGCCTGACCCACCTCCCACCAAAAAAGAGTACATACATACTGTTTGATTCCATTGATATAAAATCTACAAAATGCAAAATAATCTATAGTCACAGGGGAAATAGATCAGTGGTTGCGTGGGAGAGGGAGGGTAAGAAGAGTAGGATAAAAGCACAAGGAAATGTTGAAAATAAAGGATGGAAGAAGACATATAGGTAAGTATGGCCTGAAAGAAGGCTCGATAGTGATCAAAATAACTAATAAAATGCTAGTGAAAATATACTATATAAATATATGTGATAAAGAAGACATTGTGTATACATAAAAAGCAATAAATGTATATTCCTTATAAATACACACATGCCTAACATATACACTGAAAATGAGGAATTAGAACAGGCATAGAGCTCTAGACTCAGCACAGAACATATGTTCTGCGGGCACAGAAAGAGCAAGTAAAAACAAAAAACAGACCTGCTAATAGTCCATAAAGGAAGCCCCAATAAATTTGAAAGGACTTGTATACAGACTATATTCTCCAACTATAGTGCAATAAAAATAAAAGTTAGTAAATCCCTTGGGTTTAAAACAAAAATCATAAGAGAAAATTTAAAATTATTTAGGACAGAATGATAATAAAAACACTACATAGGCCAAAAACTTGTAAGACAAAGTCAAAGCAACATTTAAGTTTTATATAGATTTCTTAGGGAACAAAGATTAAAAACAGAAAAGAATAACAGAGAAAACTCAAAAAACAAAAAGGACAAGAAATAATAAAGATAAAGGCAGGTAGCAATGAAGCAGAGAAAAAATAAGAGTAATGAGAAGAAAAGCTGGTTCTTTGAAAAGATTAATAAGACTAAGCAATAAAAGAAATAAAACACAAAATAAAACAAATAGCTACAGACAAGCAAAGATTTTTTAAAAATTAAATCTAGATGAAATGGGTAAGTTCCTAGAAAAGTATAAAGGACCAAAATTGGTATGAGAATAAATAAATGTCTTGAATAGATTAATAGGTGTTAAATACACTGAATTGGTAGAGATACTCCCTCCTAAAAAAACCTGGGTCAGATAATTTTTCAGGTAAGTTCTAACTTTGAGTAACAATTCCTGTCTTACATTAACTGTTCTAAAAAACAGAAATAAGAGTGATACTTCATTTTATGAAGCCTATATCTTTATTTTACAATCACATAAAATAATAGTAAATGTAGATGCAAAAATTCCAAATATTGTACTGGCTAACCAAATCCAACAGTATATTAAAACATAAGAATCACATTTGAGTATGGTTTATCTCAGAAAGATTCAATATCTGAAAATCTAACCAGCAACTTAATATATGAATAGACTAAAGGAGAAAAAGAACCCAAAGAAACTGCACCTAAATGATATAAAAAGGCAGTTGACAAAATTCAACATCTATTTATGATAAAAATCTCATAGTAAACTAGGAAGAGAAGGTAATTGTTTTAACTTGATAAACTTATGTGCTAAAAGCCCAAAGCAAACATTATAGTAATAGACAGACTTTAGAGGTATGATCTTTAAGAACTAAAGAATCAAGGATGCCCACTGTCACAGCTACTGTCTAACACAATATATATAAACCATCACTCCAGCTGCTTAATGCAGTATCAGAGACCCTAAGACTGTAAGAAAAAAAAAAGTTTAAAACTTGGAAGGCAAGTTGTAAAACCTTTATTGCTTGCAAATGATATAATCATTACTTAGAAAAATCAACAGAATCAACACCAACTACTAGAACTAAAAAAAGACTTCAACAAGTTGCCAGGCCTAAGATTAACCTCCAAAATTTAATTCCACCACTTTTTTATATAAGCAGTAACTAACTAAAGATGAAATTAAAACAACAAACCTACATATTAGAAATTAATTTTTAAATCTTTTTGTTGAAATACTAAAGTATATACACAAAAGGACATAAATCACAAGTTCACAGCTTTAAGAATTTTCAAATTGAGCACACCTGTGTAACCAGTGCCCTGAAAGCCCCACTTTCTATCAACCAAGGGCAAATACATTCTGACATCTAACATCAGATTAATTCTTCCTGTTTTTGAACTTTATATACATAGATTCATATAGTATGTATACTTTAAGAAATTAAAAAAAAAAGATCCAAGAGAGGATGAGTATATGTATTTGCAAGACATTCCCCCTTTTCCCTCGGGATACACTGTATTTCTTTTCATTACTATAAACTGTTGTTATTGTTACAATAATATCTTTAAAAAAAAAAAAAAAGGTCTATTAGCTACAAGTCTAAAACACTTCAAAGAGTCTGAGCTTCAACTTTTTTGTCTATCATTTTTACAAACTAAAACTATCATTTCTAGCAACATGTGCATTTCAAAATTTCACCAGAAAAAACCCCTGAAATCTTATATTATCCATTCAGTAAAATTTTATGTTGCTCCATTAATCATATTTTCCAAAGAATTATCACAGAAATGATAAAAGAAACAGATTCAAAAAAATAAAATGAAAGGAACTGAAGACACCAGCCCCTTAGACAAGTGCAGTCTTGGCTACAGACAGAGGAGTGTCCTGAAATTTTGAAAGGACAGGGAAGTGTATTCTACACTTGCTGTTAGCCAAAAGGCCAAGAAGTGTTAGGAAAGTGTATTCTAGATAGTTCAGATATTTACTTACCCATAAAGAATCAAACCAAATGATACCTCAAGGTCACCTTAAGGTATAGTATTCTATGTCTATATCACAACTCTGTCTCCAATGCCTAGGAATTTTTAAGGCAGTGACCAAAAAAGGAAATCATAATTAGTGATAGATTTACTGGGCTTCCAATGTGAAGATACCTGATGTTAAGCTTCCTCACAGTTCTGAATGCTGACCCTAGTGTACTGGCTATGCTTCAATATAACCTGTAGAGCTTTGTTTATTGGTTGGTTGGTATAAATACAAGTATCTACTCCCTCCTGACTTACAAATCAGAAGCTCTGGAGGTACAGACTTGGTGCAAGGACATTTCAAGATTTCCACAGGTGATTCTATGCACAGCCAGAGTTGAAAACCACTAACATAGTTAACAACCAAGTTGACTAACTAAAGATCTCATTTCACATTATCACACACCTGTGAGCTAAATTTTACCATAAGGACAGAATACTTGCCCATCTGAAAAATCATTGGTCACAATTTAAGTTCGTGGATGAAGAACAATTCACATAAGAATGCTGAACTAGGTAGGGGTCAGAAGACCTGCTTCTGACCACATCTTTGTGACTTACTGGGCAACACCAGATACATCAGCTTTCTGAGTATTTTTTTCATTTATAGAAATGGAAAAATTATACTTTTTCTGTCTTCAAGTGTTTCATATCTGCCCTAGTCAGTTTGCACAGTGGTTAGAGCATTGCCCCCATGGACTGAAGGTCCTTGGTTTAATTCCGGCCAAGGGCACATGCCTCCATTGCAGGCTTGATTCCCAGTAACCAATCGATGTGTCTCTCACATCAATGTTTCTCTCTCTCTCTCTTTCCCTTCCACTCTCTTTGAAAAGCAATGAAAAAAAATATCCTCAGGTGAGGGAGGGTTAAAAAAAAATCCACAAATGACAGGATAAATAATGGAGCCACTCTAAATATAAGTAAGGCACTAAATTTAGTCAGAGTCCACTGAGTCCTTGGAGTTACTGCCAACTACAGTACGTAGACAGACTCAAAATGCTGAATGTCTGAAATGAAACCAAGACCTCCGTTTATTCAACTAGCTGATTAACTAACTGGCAAACTCCTATCAGGTGTGAAAGGCTAAGGCAGTTCTGCCTCTGTTATTAAGAACAGAGATAATGCTTTCATTTTCTACTTCTTGCCCTCAACTCTCTCAAACAATTCCCTCCCAAGCTAAGTTTTTACCGCATTAAGAAGAAACAAGTCAAGTATTCAATTTCTGGGGAAACTGGTCCACTTTCTTCCTAAGAAAATATACTATGGAAGACAAACCTCAGCCACAGTGCTACGAATACCATCCACCACCTGCTCGAAGTCCACCAGGCTGAAGAGGGGCTGTTGTTTAAGACGATGCAGCTCGGCAGCAAAAGTGTCCTCCTGGTTTTTCAAAATAGATCCTGCAAAATTGGAAGGCACTGTCACAGGAAGACAGAACCACCAGGACAGGCAAGGATTCCCCACCCTGCTGGTGCAGCTCCTTCACCTGCTTCTCGGGCAGGCACATCATGGTTGTGCTGAAATGTGAGTACATAAATGTTACTAGCCACTCACTCCTACCAGGCATGCTTTCAGGTCACTCAATATCAAGAAGGACCTTTGAGGACGGGGTATGTTGTGCAAGGAGAGAGCTACCTTTTCTAGTCAGGTTGACATTTTGATTCTCGAACATCTGGACAGATTCTCCAACAAACAGGATTTTTTCAGCAACCCGCACTGGGATGTAGGATGGCAGAATCTCCACTCGCAGGGAAAACTGCTTTAGAGATGGTGCCAGCATGTTCTCTTCCTCTATAAGGCGCTGGTCAAAGAAATAATCCACATCAGAGATGATGTGCAAAGAAAGGGGAAACAAGAAAACATCCCCGCCCGTGACTTATATTTTCTAGAGCAGGGACTCTAAATCTGAAGTCACATCTAGTGTTAGAGAGATGCACTCCATTTTCAGGCAGCAGGAGTGCGTGGTGAAAATAAGTGTTTTTTTAACATTAGGGATTTTGTCCTTACTCTGCGCTTACTACTTGTGCAGTAGATCTACAACCCAGTTTCCTTACTTGTACGTTGGAATAATTGGTCTTTGCTTTTTCGAGTCTACAGGTCTATGATTTCATTACCATGCGTATGTGTCTGCTCTGTCCAGCTCTTCACGCCAGCCCCAAGTCATTTAGCCATGTGGGTCTCAAAGTGTGGCTCCTAGACCAACAGCATCAGCTTCATGTGGGAGCTTGTTAGAAATGTAAGTTTTCAAGCCTCTTCCCAGATGTACAGAAGTTCCGGGCGATGAGGCCCAGCAATCCGTGGTTTAACAAGCTCTCCAGGTGATTCTGATGCACAGTGACATTTGAGAACCACTGATTCAGCCCAGAAAGCCTCTGAGACCCACCACCCAATCACTCAGCACCCATGTTCCCTGACTTGCTTTTGATTAGACCCTTATCTAGTTCCGATGGACTCAGTCCTGACTTCCATCTCTACTGTTTGCCCTCTTTGGGCTTCAGTGCTGGTGTTCCTCCGGCACCATTCCAGACCCTTTTCCTTTTGCTCTCCGCCTTCTTCATCAACAACCACACCTTCTGTGGCTGAATTTTTCACCATAACAAATATTTTAAGTCTTTTTACATCACAGGACTCTCTACAAATATAAAAGCTTCCAGACAAATATACAAACATACATTTCACAGAACTTCCTGAAGTCCCCCATGGACCCCAGATTAAATACTTCTAATGCTGATGACTCCTAAATCTTTACCTTTAAGCTACATGGCTCTCACGAGCTCCAGCCTCCGCCCACTGAACATTTCCTACAGGTATCTCAAACTCAGCATGTCCAAAATTAGACCCATCTTCTTTCCTCCAATACCAGCAACACTTGTTTCTTATCATCACTACTCACCCGGCTGCTGAAGGCAGATGCCTAGGTATCACCCTTGACTCTGCCCATGGGCCAGTACCCCATCAGTCACTCAGGCCTGCTGTCTCACGTCCTAAGTCTCCCGCAAGCCTCTTTCTCCTCCATGCTCACTGTTAACACCCTTGGCTTAGATCAGAGTTATTCTTCACCTACGTGTTCCCAGCACTCTTTTAACTGACCTACCTACAGAAAATCTTTTTTTTTTTTTTTTTTAAAGATTCCCACATGGTATCCAGAGTGATCTATCATTAATCCTGATTGTGTTAACCTCTTGCCTAAAATTCTTCACTGGCTCCCAGCTCTTTTCAGGTTCAAGTCCAAATTCCTTCCCACAGTTCACAATGGCATTCATGATCTTACCTCTGCTTAACTCAACAGCTTCACTGACTGCGACTTCCCCCATCCCCTCCACCACCCTTTACATGACGTTTCAGTCCTTTCTTGACCATTTCAATTGTATTACTAATGGTTCGACAAATGAGCCATGCCCTTCGTGGACTCTGTACTTCACACACAACCTTCCCTGGAACATTTCTTGACCCCACCTCTCAAACTCTTTGCAATTTAGCCATATATTCCACTGAAAAGCCTTCTCTAGTTACTCTAAGACATGTTCTGAGAACACCTGTAATTACTCTTTCCAGAGCACTTAGTGCATTGTACTGTTACTGTTTACTTTTATCTTCCACTACACTATAAGCTCTTTAAGGACAGGGACTATTACATCTTATTTGTCTATGTAGTTGTGGCACCTAGAACAATGCCTGACACATAACAGGCATTTAATAAAATATTGTAACAGGATAAATAAATGGGTGGATGAATAAGAACAAGAGAGGGCTTCGGGGACTCTAATCAAAACTCCAAACTGTGTTTAAATACTACAGGGTAGCTACAAGACTATCTTAGGAGACAAGACTTATTAACTTCTTAAAAGCATATACTGGGAAAAGAGGAAACAAAAGGAATCTCACAAATGTATTTTCTGTCTTGTAGTCTCATATTAAGTATTAAGTTTAAGTATTAAGCTAAGATAAAGACAACTGTTTGTATCTAAAGAATTTAGGGAAGGTGCCTAGGATATGATGAACTTGGAGCAGGGAGGGAGGATCACCAAAAGGACATTTAGCTACAGTCTTTTCTGATTCCTGCAGGAGTATGCTGGGCTTCTTGCTGTGCTCTCACCAAGTCCTGGAGTTCTCTCAGTTGTTTTCCTGTCAGTCCCCCAATACCCAGATCCTCCTCATCCTCTTCTGGCTGGGCACTGACATTACCAGAAGATGGACCCTGTTTGATAAAGAACTCTTCATGCTGGTCCAAGAGGAGCCCATGTAGCATCCAGGCTGAGAGCTGCTTATACATGACCCCATGACACACGGCCAGGATTCTGAGTTGGGAGAAAAGCAAGAGCCTTAGAAGTCCACTTAAAGAACACTAATCCACACAATGGCACAGAGGGCATGCTCCAAACTGCTCCAGGATAAACAGCCTGAGACGATGAGTCAGAAGGGAAATGACCAACTAAGCTAAAAATAATTGTGGTATTTTATTTGAAATGTTTGTGGCTGGACTAACTGATTAAATTTCCAAACTTGTAGCCTACATACTGAAGTCTGAAATGCTGTGACTGTTCTGGTAGTCTTTCAGAAGGAGCACATTTTCTTTCTACCTTTTGTGTAAAGTAAGTTTTAACACTGATATTCCTGTTAAAATTAAATGGACTTATGGAGTCTCTCTTTGGCTAACATAGTATTAAATTTGTTTTTTGTTGGAATCACAGAGGAAGAGTGGATTCAATATGTAACAGGTAGGTATACCTGAAAACGTATGATCCAACAAAATGCAGAAACTGAAACAAAATGCAGAAAGGTTACTGGAGAATGGATCACTGCTAGATAACACATTAATTACAAAGGGGAAAATGTCCCTCTAAAATGGAGAGATCTGGTGGAAAACACTTAAACCAAGTGATCAAACTTTACAACGCCAGTAATGGGACAAACCTACTTTCTGTGCCTTCCGATATGATGCAACAGGAAATAATATGACCCATGTAGTATTCTTGAAAAAAAAAAGTTTAGCCCAAATCTAATCATGAGGTAATAATCAGAAAAATCCAGATTGTGGAACATTCTTCAAAACAACTGGCCAGCACCCTTAAAATGTCAGTCATCAAAGATTAAAAAAAAAAAAAAAAAAAAANAAAAAAAAAGGCAAAGAAGAGGACTATTCCAAAATAAAGGAGACTAAACAGACATGACAACCAAATGCAATATGTGAACAATGATTAGATCCTGGATTGCAAACAAACACAGCTGTAAAAAACTTCTGGAGGGCAACTGAGGAAATTCATATATATTTTGGTTTTTTTGTGTTTTTTTAAAAAAATATATCTTTATTGATTTCCAAGAGAGGAAAGGAGAGGGAGAGAGAGAGATAGAAACATCAATGATGAGAGAGTCATTGATCGAGCCCACAACCCGGGCATGTGCCCTGACCGGGAATCGAACCCTGATCGCCTGGATCCTAGGTCGACGCTCAACCGCTGAGCCACGCCCGGCCAGGCCATATATATTTTGAATACCATATTGTTGAATTAATGTTAACTTTCTTGGGTATAATATGCTAATGAGGTTATATAAGAGAGTGACCCTTTTTAAAGGGATACAAGCTGACGTATTTAGGGTGAAGCGTTATGATATCTGTGACCACTTTCAAATCACTCAGCAAAATATTGTGATATGCATGCATGTGTGTATGTTATATATATTTACATATATATTTCTCACTTTATATAGAGGGAGAAAAGATAAATCAAATGTGGCAAAATTAAAGGACATACAGGTCCTTACTGTACAGTTCTTTCAACATTTTTGTAGATTTAAAAATTTTCAAGATAACTTGGGAAGAAAAAGAAACTAAAAGAGATTGCTATTTGTAGTATGCTAACTGAATGAACTTGCTCTTAAAAAACTTAAATGGAAAGGCATTTCAATTTTGCACGTCACACTGTGTGGTCTGTAAAATTTGGTCCCTGCAAAATATATAACATGTATACATCATATTATCTGTGTAAGATTTTATATACAAAGCATGAAGCTATATAGTATGCTTACATAGAGAGAAACTGTAGAGGACAGACACCAAGAGTTGAATTGGGTACCTCAAGGGACTGTGATTACAAATGCTTTCTATTTCTCTTCTTTGCATGTCTGTACTTTTTACAATCAAAGTTCATTTCTTTTATTAGGAAAACAACAACAACACAGTAATAGAGAATTAAGTCCCTAAAGCATATTCTGGAAAACTTCCTCCTCTTCTGAGGACTTACTTGTGAAGTGGTTAAAGTGGAGATTGTTAAGAGTTGTAAGGGGGCCTCAGAGATCATTGATTTCAATTTTGCAATCAATGCCACACCCTCTTTTTTCCATAACCTCTTTTTAAAAACTGAGGAGGAAGAGGAGAATAGGAAAATCAAATGAGCAGCCTTTGATGAAAAACTCCATATACATTTAATATAGTTGTAATCATAACACATAATTTTGCACCCTTTTTTCCAATTAGTATTATAAAAATATTTTTACATGTTGTTATAATATTTATAGTGTTAATGGTGTTAGTCTATCAAGTGAATATATCTTTATTTAGCTTTCTTCTGCTGCTGGTAATTTTCTAATTTCTTGATATAGTATTACAATATTGCAAGAAGTATGTTTGTACATATGGTTATTTTCTTTTCAATAATTTTGTTAGGATAAAATTCCCAAGAGTGGCATTATGGGATTATAAAGTATAAACATTTTTAAGGACCTCGATGTGAAAATACCAGCTACTCAAAATACACAAGTTTAGATATAGCTAGGCATTATCTGGCACATGTAATGGAAATTCTCCCGGGATGATGAGATCCAAAAGTTAAAAAGGGTTGCCTCAAGGGCATCTAGGCAACTAGATCCTAGCTTTGATACTCAATACTTTATAGCCCTCTTTTTGCAATTTCTGAGCCACCATAGAATTACATGGGCTCCTCTGCTCATGGGTGTTTTCTATCCTGGTCATACCTTTGCCCAGAGGGAAACCTGAGATAACTTGAAAATAAAATCTGTGCAGCCCGGCTGGTGTTGCTCAATGGTCAAACGTTGACCTATGAACCAAAAGGTCACCAGTTGGATTCCGGTCAGGGTACACACCCGTGTTTCAGGCTTCATCCCCAGTAGGGGGCGTGTAGGAGGCAGCCGATCGATGTTTCTCTCACTGATGTTTCTCTCTCTATCCCTCTCCCTTCCTCATTCTCTAAAAATCAATAAAAACATATTAAAAAACAAACAAATCTATGCAATTAAGCCACTTGACCATCTGCCCCTGCTCCCAATCCCCAATTGAGCCAGGACTTACTTTTCTAGTGCACTTCGAACAGGAGGCAAACCTCCACAGCTGTGTTTGTATACTGTTTCCAGGATCTGACAGCCATGAATCTGTGGAAAATACAGACTTTTCAAACTGGATTCCATTTCAGTAGTTCCTGTAGCACAGACTCATATTCTATATTCAGTCCAGCACAGAATGGGTATAAACTTGGTCATAAGATCTAGTTCTGATTCTATAATTCCAATGTGTGGGGGGGGTTTTCCCAAACCACCAAGCAATTCTCAGACCTGGGTAGGGTGTCCTACATTTTTACTTAATTCTGACTCTACTCTGAGATAGCATCAGATTCCAAAGGTTAAGGGCTCAGTCCCACACGACAATCCTCCATGTCAGATGCCAATCACAAGTCCAGGTTGTTGTTGTGTTTCTGACTAGCTGGCTATAATAAGAGGTTCCCATGACCCCCTCCTTGGGTTCAATTAATTTGCTAGAGTGGCTCACAGAGCTCAGGAAACCCAGTTATTCACTAGATTACAGTTTGTTTGGTTGGTGTTTTTGTTTTGTTTTTTAAACCAAGGGTATCAAAGGATATGAATCAACAGCCAGATGGAGATTCATAGGATGAGGTCCCAAACAAAGGAAATTCTGTCCCCAGGGAGTTTGCGCACTGCATGGTGGCATGTGGAATTGTTCTGGTTCATCAACCTGGAAGAAAGCTCTCCGAACTCTGTCCTTTTGGGTTTTTATGGAGGCTTCATTACATAGACATGATTAAATCATTGGGCACAGCTGATTGAATTCAATTTCCAGCCCACTCTTCCCCAGAGGTTGGGGGTGGGACTGAAAGTTCCAACCCTCCAATCACATGGTTGGTTCCCCTGGCAACCAGTCCCATCCTTAAGTGCTGTCCAAAAGTCACCCTATTAACAACTCAGGTGTTGTTGATAGGGGTTTCTTATGAATGTCAAAACACCTTTATCACTCTTACCACTTAGGAAATTCAAAGGATTTTAGGAGCTCTGTACCACAGAAAATATGGAGACAAAAATATATATTTCTTATTATAAATCATAATATCACAATAGTTATTCTCAAAGTGTGGACTCTATAGCCTCCCTACTCTTCTCCATTCAACCCTACCTCCAGCAGGAACTTATAAGAAATGCAAATTATTGGGCACCACTCCAGGTCTGCTCAGTGAGTCTCTGGGGTAAGGCCTGGTAGCCTGGTTTCCACAATTTGCTCCAGGTGATTCTAATGCACAATGAAGTTTGAGAACTATTGAGCTAGAGGAACCAGAAACACTTAGTTGAAATTCCAAGCAAAGAGGTAAAGAAATCTGTTTCTTTCAGATTAAGGCCTAATTCATACCACTTATAATTTATACACTTTTCTAACAATCTGCTTCCTCTTTCTATGTCCTTTGGCTTTCTCTTTTTAAAAGATGCTTTATTGATGTATAATTTACATAACATAAAATTCACCCATTTTTACTATTCAACAATTTTTAGTAAATTTACAGCACTGTGCAACCAATCACCATAATCCACTTTCATAACATTTCCATCACTCTAAAAGGATCCCTTTTGCCTGTCTGCAATCACTCTCATTCTCACCTCTAGCCCATGTTCTTGACCACCTTGGTTTTTCACTCTGTGGGGCCATAGCACACTAGCTTCTCTACCACCCCCTGGCAGGAAGGAAGGTTTGCCCACCTGCAATTCCTCTGCTCATTTTCTACTCTCCTTCCTGTGGCCAATGGAAGCTGAAAGTCAACTGAGATGTGCAGCTAGGCATGGAATCCTTCCACTAAATCCACTCACCAAGAACTCTCCAATTTTGGGAGATAGATTAGTAGAGTGTGGAAGATCATATAGTCTTTGGAGTCAGACAGACCTGGGTTTATACGCCAGTTCTACCATTTACTACCATATGTGTGACCCCAAACACTCCCTTAACCTATTCCATTCCTTAGAGGACTGCATGTGATAATGTATGTGAAGTACTTAGCACAGTGCCTGGTATATAGCAAATGTACAATAAAAGCTCAGTGTTATGCGGTGAGGGCAGTCAGCTTTGAAGGACCAAAGAGCACCTTCCCTAACTGGCTTTGCTAACACAGAGTGAACACAGCAGAGTGTAAGTTTCTGTACTTATAGGGCAAAAATATGAAGTAGCAACTGGACAAATTAACTGGCTAACTAGTCATATTCACCAAAGTGAGCACTCCTAATAAGCTAAGGCACTAATATAACAGCTTAAAAACATGAACGAGAGAGAGGGAGAGAGAGAAACATCAATAATGAGAGAGGATCATCAATCAGCTGCCTCCCACATGCCCCCTACTGGGGACTGAGCCTGCAATCACTGAGCCACACTGGCCAGGATATTCCTCAGAATTATTAATGCTGCCCAGAAAAGACATTCTCCTGACATAGGGAAGCCACACTTCTCAAAGCATTTGATGAAAACTTGTGATAAGAATAGGCATATTTAACTATTATAATAAACATCTGGGTTTTACCCAATGATCTAATTCTCAGAAAAATGCCAACACCCTAACATAAAACTATTATCTTCTTTTTTCCTAAGGATTAACTTTTAGCTTCTCCTTAGGATCTATATCCTACAATTCTAAATCTTTAGTGCAAAAAGCTCTCACCTCCAAATAACCATAGCATTATTCTCTTACACAACAGTATTCTTGGGTACATCTATTAAACACCTTGCTGACCGGCTATTTCCAGCCAGAACTTGCCCGTGTGGTTGGCCACTTTTCCATCATGATTGGTCAGTAAGGTGTTTAACATTTCTCCTACCTTCTGGACCAGGATGTACTTAGGGGCAAGGTAATCATTTATTTTTGCATTCCTGACACTTAGCATAATACCCAAGCAGATATTGTTGAATAAATAAATAAAAACTACTAAAATCTAGGGTCTTCAAAAAAGAATGTAAGGCAAAATTAAGAATATTTCCTTGGTGTTTACCAGAGCAAAAGGAAAAAGAATAGTTCTCACCTTTTGACCTTTAATTTGTTCTACTACAACCATCACAGAGGGAAAAAGGAGCTGGAACTGCAAAGTAGAGAATAATTAGGAGGGCCTATAATAAAATACAAGGGGGAAAAAAACACTTCACGAAACGCTTTTGTTTCTAAATAGTCCCACTTAACATAAAGATGGCAATACCATAGAGCAGCCAAGATCCAGTATCTTAAGAGCAATTTTGTAGGGGGTTGGTGGCAGATAGAAAGAGAATGGCAGATAGAAGCAGTTTCAATTTCTGAGGCTAGCATAATTGTTAACACTGAGGTCGATCTAGAGCATGAACAACAGACATTAAGTTTTAACTAAATTTGGAGCTTTTCAAACAGTTCTGATCTAGGAAAGCATACAACATATAAAATGCTAGCTCTGAGTCCAGAAAGAAAAACGTTCTCAAAAAAATGTCATAAGTTAGATTATTCTAACAATATCAACAGATTCCAAGGCATTTTGTTATTTGAGCAGCATACCTGATCTAAGGAGTAATTGACATGTGATATGGAGAGATGGGGGTCAGCCAGGAACTGCAACAAAAAACACTGTGATTAGGGCTCCATACAAATATCTCAAATCTATTTCATCTATGAAAACTAGAATTAAATCTAAGAATGGGCTTAGTGTTAGCTTTAGGCTATCGAGAATTGATGATTTATAGAAGATTATTAATTTTGATTTTCAGGTGATAACAAAATCAAAGTTAGGGCTCTTACACACTCGCTCAGGAACCTCTGCTATAATCTGCATGATTTTGTTTGTTTTTTAAAAATATATCTTTACTGATTTCAGAGAGAGGAATGGAGAGGGAGAGAGAGAGATAGAAACATCAATGATGAGAGAGTTATTGATCGAACCCGCAACCCGGGCATGTGCCCTGACCGGGAATCGAACCCCGATCGCCTGGATCCTAGGTCGACGCTCAACCGCTAAGCCATGCCCGGCCAGGCTGCATGACTTTGATCATGGCTTGGACAATCACAGGGAATAAGTACTTACACTATATTCTATAGCTATGCAGAAAATAGCTTACTCCTAACTACCTGACCATATCAAAGGGCATTTCAAATTCAAAAACATGGCCTAATCTTCTGTCCCAGAGTGTTGTTCCCATATCCCTTCTCTCTCACCTCTTGTTCCAAATCAAGCAGTGCTTGTCGATAAGGCTGCAAAATTGAGTCCAGACCTGTGCAGAAGGCCCTTAGATAGATTCCATGTAATCCACCTTGGCCCTGCTGAGATGGATGGTGATCCTGCAATCAAACAAAGAGAAATCAGCTCTCAGCTCAGACCCTGAAACCTGAGGAAGACATTACTCTTTATTAGTGGTATTGTTTTTACTTAAGTAATTCCATATCAGAGCAGTGCTTCAGTGAGAGGAAAACCCAACTGAACTTATTTTGAGTTTTGATCTTTTAAAGTGTGATATTTTTAAATTAAAAAAAATTTTTTATCCTCACCTGAGTATAGTTTTTTCCATTGATTTTTAGAGAGAGTTGAAAGGAAGGAGGAGGGGGGGAGAGGGGGAGAGGGAGAGAGAGAGAGAGAGAGAAAGAGAAACATCGACATGAGAGAGGCACATCAACTGGTTGCCTCCCGAATACACTCCGACTGGGGCCGAGAACTGAACCTAAGACACTTCATTCTGAGGGCCGACACTCTAACCACTCTAACCAAATTGGCCAGGGCAAAAATGTAGTATTTTAATTTTCCAAGTGGCCCAGATGTTACAATCAGGTAGTACTCCATACTGTCTGTGGAGACTTTTCTACAACTCAATTTTAACCTTATAACTTCCAGCTTAAGTCCTTTTGGTGGCTAACCACTGCCCAGAATAATAGTTAAACTCCTCTAATTGGCATGCAATGACTTCTGCATTCTGGTCCTTACCTCTCTGCAAAATTCTTTTACCGTGTCCAACTTCACATCCTTATTTCCAGACTACCCACAGGTCACCAAATGTGCCTTGCTTTTATTTCTCAGCCCTGTGAATTTGGATGTGTTCTGCTTATATCTGTACACTCATCTTTTGTTTGTTTATTAATCCTCACTCAGGGATATTTTTTCCATTGATTTTTAGAGAGAGTAGAAGGGAGAGAGAAAGAGAGAAACATTGTGAGAGAGACTTATTGATTGGTTGCCTCACACATAGCCCCGACTGGGGCCTGGGATCGAACCTGCAACCCAGGTATGTGCCCTTGACAGGAATTTGAACCCAATACCCTTTGATATATGGGCCAACGCTCTAACCACTGAGCCACACCGGCCAGGGCTGCACATTCATCTTTTGACAAATACCTACTCTTCCTGCAGGACCCAATTCAAGTGTCTCTTCTCTGCAAAGCACTTCCTAACTCTCCCTAGAGAATTAATAGCTTCCCCCTTTGTTGCTTTCAAAGCATCTCTATTTAGTGCTGGAATTGTACTTTTGTCACTTCATGAAGCAAGGTCCTGCATTTTATTCATCTTTGTATTTTAGCTCCTAGCACAGTTCTTAGAACAGAGGGTAAGTATTTACTGAATAAATAAAATGACCTCAGTCCTCCTTCTAACATCCCTTCTCCTGCCTGGTATGGCAATTTATCTGAACAGGAATCTGAGACCCAAATGAGGAGTTATGAGACTCTCACTAAAAGGCTATTTACAAATACGGCTTATCTTTCAGGAAACCTGCAATTTTTTGTAAGAGGTTCTTCTTCTGTAGTTTTATATGGGGAATTGTGGTTAACAGTTGACTAGAGGTCACGATGACTAGCCTCTCTAGTTATGTACTTATTTGGGTGATTGGGCTCTGGTGGTGGTAGACACAATAGTAGAATTCAGCAACAAATGTGGTAGGAAGCTTAGACTCAGGGGTCATAAGGTACAGTATAGCCAGAGGACACTGCAAAAGACACTAGTAGTTCCTGGAGATAAATGTTCACAGCTATAGTAAGAATAACATGGGCATAGGGTGAAATAGACCAGATCGGCTTACAACCACTCAATTTGTTTAGAACTTGTGTCATTCCAGAGAACTGAATGTCATTTATCACAAAATAATAGAGAAAATGAGTATGCATTTTACTTTCCCAAAAAAAGAGGCACTACAGATATACGTAGAACTGGGAAAGTAGGAATTCACATATCACAGAAGATGAAACTGACATAGTCACACAAATATAGGTTTTTTTCTTTTAGGTGTTATATTAAAAAATTATTAATATTAATAATGTACATCTATATTGTATTAATAATATAATGTATGTAATATATTAATATAACATAATCCATGCTATATTAATGTAGATGTAAGTTTCACCTATATTAATATATGTATAGCTTTCAACTTTAATAATTAAGTGTGCTCTTAATATGATTTCATAGCAAAATGGCACTGATTGGATTTTAAACTCATGTTTAGCTTGTCCATTTTCTCTGCAATAAAATCAGTTTACGTGAACCAGCATCCCTGTCCCAGAGATGAAAACATAAGGCATTATTCTCCTTTGCCCCACAGATTACTTCCTGTGAACGCTGAGGAAAAAAGGCACCTACTAAGAAGGGCTCCTGATGGCTAACCCGGCTCAAATTAAGAAAACAAACTAGCCAAAGCCTAGTAGCCATTTCTGCACAGAGGCCTCTCACAAACTGCACTTAAAAAAAAGCCTGAGCTGAATGGCCTGCCTGCACTGTATTTCTACCATTTGAGCCAGCCCTTACAAAGGTTTCTGGGAATCCTATTTCAACCAATACGCTTGAGGCTTTCCCTATCCAATCAGAGTGGCTCTATTCTGACCAATCAGAACAGTGCCTTTTGGGGCACTCAAACTGTGAGCATTTGGAGCCTTCAATTTGAATGAGGATGGACCAATCAGGGACCAGGGGCAGGGACTCTGTCCTTACAAGCCAGCTCTCCTGTAGCTCAGAGAGCTTTCTTGAAAGGGAATTAAAAAAATGACTGATTGATTGATTGATTGATTTGAGAGAATGAATCATCAATTTGTTCTACTTATCCATTCATTGGTTGATTATTATTTTTAATATGTTTTTACTGATTTCAGAGAGAGGCAGGTAGAGGGAGGGAGAGAAACATCAACCATTAGAGAGAATCATTGATCAGCTGCCTCCTGCACACCCCCTACGGGGGGGATTGAGCCCGCAACCTGGCCATGTGCCCTGACCGGGAATCAGGGAATCAACCATGACCTCTTGGTTCAAGGGTTAATGATCAACCATTGAGCAACACCAGCCGGTAATGGTTGATTCTTGTATGAGCCTTGACTGGGGAGCAAGCCCACAACCTTGGCGTATTAGGATGATACTCTAACTAACTGAGCTACCCAGCCAGGGTGAATGTACCTTCCCTTTCCATCTAAGACTGAAGACAGTGTCTTCCTGGCTGAGCTGAAACACCAAAGATGTCTCACCAGAGCAGAGTGACCACTGAGAAGCAGAGAAGAGCTGTCTAGCTATAAAGGGATGTGGCCCCAAGGCTGCCTGACTCCATAGCTGTTCTCATAGCTGTGCTGTATCACAACTGAACTGTTCCACAGCTGTGTTATATCACAATTGAGTTGTTTAACACTGAATAGTTTCTTCTCCACTGCACCCCAAATTGGGGATTTTTTTTGGCACTCAATTGGCACCAACAACTATCAGCTGACACACCAAAGGCCTGATAGCCAATTTACATAATAGGGGCCAGAGTGTACTGACTGCGTTATTTCAGAAATAACTCACTTCTTTTGCAGAAGTCCCCACCTTTCCCCTCAATCAGAATCATTCTTTCAACTGGAAAATAGTCATCATTGAATCAGTTACACAATTCAGCAGTCTTTTTACTTAACATTGACAAGAATTACAGTTAAAAATAGAGAACTTTAAAAATTTCCTTGAGAGGAAACAAGATGGCGGCGTAGGTAACAGTAGCACCCGCCACCTCCCACAACCACATCAAAATTACANCTTTTCTTGAGAGGAAACAAGATGGCGGCGTAGGTAACAGTAGCACCCGCTGCCTCCCACAACCACATCAAAATTACAACTAAAATCCAGAACCACCATCANATTTCCTTGAGAGGAAACAAGATGGCGGCGTAGGTAACAGTAGCACCCGCCACCTCCCACAACCACATCAAAATTACAACTAAAATCCAGAACCACCATCACTCAGAGCCTCCTGAAATCTGGCTGAACAGAAGCCCTACAACCAGGGAACTGAAGAAGCAACGATACCAGGAGGGAGGGTGGAGATGTGGGCGGATTGGGACTGAATCTGAGACTCCCCGCAGGCCCACACCTGGTGCCCGGTTTAAACCCGGGAGGGACATCTTGGCGGCAGAGGTTTCTTGGAGGAGCGAGGGGTCCCAGCCCCACATCAGGCCTCCAGCCCAGGGCTCCAGGGCCCGGAAGAGATGTCCCCACAACTCCGGGCTGTGAAACCACAGGGACTGTGGCTGAGGGTAGCGGAGGATGCGGGAGCCCCAGCAACTCCTCTTAAAGGGCCGGAGTATGAACTCGCTCAGATGTGCTCCATCTGAGCCCCAGCGCCAGGGAAGCAGCTTGAAAGGAACCTAGGACATTTGGGGAGGAACTAAACTACCTGGAATTGGGGTGAGAGGTGCAGGGGTGGCTTTCTCCCAGGCAGAAGAGCTGGCAGAGGCCATTGCTCCTTTGGCAAGTCCTCCCTGCACTGCACACAGCCGGCAGGCAGGCGCCATATTTGAACTGCCAGCACCTGACTCAGGCCTTTGGCCCCGCCCCTCCCCACCTGCAGCTCATCCAGGCCATTTCCAGTGGCTTTTCTATGCAAGTGGCCTCTCAGGCCTCATGCTTAGTACTTTCTTAAAATCTCTCAAACAAGCAGCAGTGAGCCCCATATGGCTTGGTAAGTGGCCCCAGGCCTGGCACTAGTGGCAGCCTGCATTGGCTCATAGCTTGGCCTCTCCTGGACAACGCCAAGCCCAGCACAAGTAGCAGCCA